AAATATTTAAAAAGTTGCAAAACGCTACAACAACAAAAGCAAATAAATCTAACGGAGATAAAAAGTAAATGTATTGGCAAAAGTGAGCTGGAAAAAATAATACAAACTAATTGCTGGAAATAAAGTTTGCCGGTCAAAGTGGTTTAATGTGTAAAACGCTCTTTTTTTTTTATTCCGCTTACGATTCAACGCTAGGAGTTCTATTAAACTTTTTTATATGTTACATCTAGTTTTTTTTTTTTATGCAGCATAAAACTCCCCACCAGCACCTCCCCCACCCAACCGGAAAGTTGTGCAAATTGTGCGGAATTTTTAAATTTGTGCTACGTTTTTGCAGCATCAAATTTTCTGCGTGGAATTTTCGGGCGTGTTTTATATTTTTTCGTACTCTGGCTTCAAATTGGATTTCTTCTGCGGAACTGTGCACTCAATTTTGGTTTGGATTATCGCTGATGTGCAATAAAACGGAATGTGCTAAAAACTTTTTAACTGGACAAAACTCGTTGCAATGGAGTTTAGCTTGATATACTTTTTCTGCACTTCTCATTTTGCTTTCTGTTTTTTTTTTTTATTATTTTATTTTTTTTTTTTTGGTTTTTGTTTTTGCTAACAACAAAGAAAGTAATGCTAAGCTTAAGTAGGGTAAAGTCAAGATATTTGGTGGATTATGGACTAAAATTCTAGGAGCATTGTGTTGTGTATATGATAGATATAGAATATTTTAATTTTATTTACTAAATGATGCAAAAGAGCCTAGAAATTGGCACACTATAAGTAATATACTATAAGTAATATTTTAAGGTTCACTGCAAGTATTTAAGAGTAAGTCAGATTGTATCCCAACTCAGTACTGCATTGGCCTTTGTACGGACTTTTTTATAGTTCCTTATAACTGAAAAAAATTGTTAGGTCCATTATAATATATTGAATGTATGTTGATGTATGTTGATCCAATTTTTCCAATAATAGTAAATGATGGCATTCTACTTGAGTGTCGATTGTCTTTAGGTAAAGGCTAACGAAAGCCTTACAGTTAGGTATCGATAGTTAATAACAATACTAGCTCCTTTTATTCCTATTCACATTTATATAGACTAAAATCACTGACACTATGGTCAGTACTAAAATCAAGTCTCTTTCTTATGAATTTGTAGATCTATTTAAAACTGAATGATGCACATAAAATTCTCAATTGGTTCCTTGAATAGCTTCTTGTCGGTGCATTTTAATTCAATTTGAAACTCTTAGGTAATGTATCAAATTCACATTCACATTATTTCTAATGGGATTTATGCTCTTGTAAGTGCTTAAATAGATTACTTCAGCTTATATACTAGAGCAGGGGGCAGCATGTTATTTATTTTGGCTGTGCCTCACGCTCGCTCACCTTAAATGGACTTGTTTGTTTTGCAAATACTTTTATTAGCGTATAAAGCAATTTCCAGCAGATTTGGCAACATAAATTACCAACTTTTAGCACTGAGCGTTACCCAGTCCTTGGCGCCACGCCCAGCTGAACTGCCCCTGGCCCGCCCTCGGCCGGGCGAGGCACTGTTGAGTCGTGACCTTTTTGGCAACATTAAAAGTGATAATTTCTATTCACACAGAGCCACTTGCAGGGGCTTTTATTATTTAATTTTCAAGCTTGTGCTAATAAATTAAGCACAGCATGTGGCAGTCAGCCGCCCACTCACAGCATGCCACGCCCATTGCGAGCATGTTCCTTACTCGGCACCGGCTCCTGCTCTGGCTGCTGCCTCTGCTCCAGCTGCTCTGCAGTAATAGCGAAGCACAACACATGCAAAAACTACAAAAATAAAATGCGAAACTTTTGTTGAAATCAAAACCCTTCCCCATGCTCCAGCTCCAGCTGCAGCTTCAGCTCCAGCTCCAGCTCGAAGTAGACATTTAAAGGGATTATGTGCCAAGTTCTTTGGCCCAGTGCCTGCTCCATGCTTCCTTGACATTTCCCTACGTATGTGTGTGTGCGTACTTTCCTTATTGGATTTATCCTAGCTGCGAATCGCAACTAATAAAAATCACGCAAATCTTGAGCTAAAAAGAAAATGGTTAGAAAGCGGCTAACGATGTTGGCAGCAATTTAGCCAAAATGTTTTTATTCAATTACGCATGTGAATTATGCAAGCTTTACATAGTCCATACTTTCTATCTGAGCCAGCTCCGAGCCATTCCCTTTGCCACGGCTCTCAGTTTGGCAAGGGCAAACATTTAGAATAGACCAAAGCCACGCCCTCCTTCAATATATGTACATATATATTTCTTCTTTTTTTGTTTTCACAAATTAAGCAGTTAAGCCTTGCACCATGCAAGCTATAAAACAATCCTCGCATAGAATAATAGTGGCAATAGAAATACCCTGTAAGCTAGCGAATTGTTGGCTAGTCTACCGACATGAAAATTGTTTACTTTATGCACGATGAATTATAATTTTACGCCGTATGACTTAATAAACATTATTAAAAAAAAAAAAATCAAAGTAAAAATAAAAAATAATAATAATTTGATAAGGAGTGAATAAATAAATAGTTAATAAAAATAATAATAAATTATTTGTTTATAAATTGAAAATAAATCTAATTCATTTGCTGCCTTATCAGTTTCCATCTGCGCCTTAGCTACCAGCTAGTCTATACCACACTCTCCGCACGTATTTTTATTGATTACAGGGTATATTTAAGCGAGTCGTCTGGCATGTATTCACTTATGCTTTGGCAAATTTGCATAATAAATCTATTTTCAATGGTTTCTCTTCGTTTTTTTTCGGTATGTGTATAGCGTGTGTGATATGTGTGTATGTGGTGTTTGTGTGTGTGTTCAGCTTTTATCTATCGTTCGCTGCCTTTACGTATCAATGGAAGCATTATAAGACTTGAAGCTCTTTTATGTAGTTGCCAGACCATCAGCATATTTGGTTAACAGCTGCATGCGAGTGTCTCTATGTGTGTGTGTGAGGCTATATTTGCTATATATGTACATATAAGCACACTCATACGCATCCATCGTCAGCCATTGATCCGGCGCCTTAACTGCCTCTTAAAGTCCTCGTTATAGCCATTTATTTACGCAGCCATTTCCGCATTGCAAGCACATTTCCCGAAATATCTTAAAGCACTTTCCCTCAATGCTTTAAAGCGCATTCAATAGAGTTTGCTAAATAAAAAAATAATTTCTATAATTTGTTTTTTACATTTTTATAACTTTATTAGTACTCAAATTGTTTTGGTTTCCATTTGAAATGTTCTTTTTTTTTATTTTATTTTTTTTTTTTTATCAAAAACTGTTTGAACAGTTTTTTAACAGTTTGTTTCATTTAGTTTTAAATTTGTTCTATTTTTTATTTTGTTTTGTTTTTGAGACTTTAGTGAACTTTTTCGTACTTTTTCACTCGTACACATTTCTAATGCAATAAATTTGAATTAATTTATGTATTAAATATTTCATTTTCTTTTTTTTTGTTTTTGTTTTTTTGTTTCTTCTCCTGTTTAATTATGCAGCACACTATAAATATGCATATATATTTTGTTTATTTATTTATTTATTTTATTTCCTTTTGGTTTTCTATGTTTACATATATTTAATATATATTTGCTAGTTTTACATCATTACAGTTACACTATATATACTATATATACGCATACACATAAGCTATAGAGCTATAGAGTTTTACATATTCATTTCATTTACTATATCATTTGTTTTTACTGTGTCTAAATATGTTTGTCTTTCGTTTTTTTTTTCTTTTGCTTTTCTTTTTCTCTGTTCTGTTTGTTTTTATTTAATTTACAATTATTTTCCACATGCACGCAAATTTAATTGTTGTAATTTTCGCGCTACTTCATTTTAATGAGCTGCTTTATAGCGCATTTTCGCAACTCAATTTCATTTTTAATTACATTTTCGACATTTTCACTATTACTTAAAATTAAAAACTGAACATTTTATATTGTTTATTTATATATTATGCGCGCTTAACACTCACTGTCTAATTGAATTTTTAACTACTAGCAGTGTGTTTCTGTTTCTCTTCTTTTTATGTTTACAAATTTGTTTTTGCTATACCCTGTACCCGGCATCTGATGCAAGTATAAAATGCTGATGTTTGTCTAACAATTTCTTTGCGAACTAGCTGAAAATTTGCAATATTTTAATGCAGAAGCATCATAACTGAAATCCAATTTATATCTGAGTACAGGGCATCTGCTAGTCGAGCGCGTTCTTACCTCGTTTGTTTCGGTTTGTTCTTCTTTTTTATGCATTTAATGTTAATAGCTTTATAAATATTTATGTGGTTTAGTTAGTCGCATAACAAAGTAGCTGCAGGCTTATAATTAACAATACCAATTTTTTGTCCTCTTTGTCAAAGAGTTGTGATTTTCATTAAAGGCTTAAATTGGTTACTATTGGAATTGGGCTACAAAAGGTGTTTAAGCGGTTTTATATCCAAATCGAGCGAATTAGAAAACACAATAAAAATTAAAATAATAACGCTTTTTTTTTTTTTACATGGAACCGCAAAATTAATAAAATGTAATTTCCTGTTTATTTATTTACTTAATTGTCTTTTAACTGTATTTTGCAAATTTTTTAATGCTATTTGAATGAAATATATTTTTGGATTAGGTGTTGTTGATGTTGTACAGCTTATAAGCTAGACCTTTATATTATTTACACACATACACAATATGAATTCAGTCTTTGGAAGAATAACATTTATATTGGTTTTATACATATACATATATATTTTGGAATATATAATTGTTTAATATTTTGTGAATCGTTTTTATGTATTCAAACTAAAATGGATTTCTCATTTGAAATAGTTTTGCCGAACTGTGAATTGGTCCTAGATGGAACTTTTTTTTTTTTTTTTATATAAATAAAGTATAATTTATTGGGAAAATTGAAACTATAAAATTGTTTATCTAATTGCTTGGGGAATGACAACAACTAAACTTAACACCACTAATATTTTTAAATTCTTTTTATATACAATAAAACTGATGTTAAAATGAACTACTTAACATATGCAGCTTAACATTCACAGCAGGCAGCTAACATAAACAAACTCTATTAGCGAATGCAGCACAGTTGAGTCAACTAACACAACAGACACACAAATACAAACACACAAATAAAAACACACAAATACACACACACACAGACATTCATACACACTCAGTTTGAAACGGCCGTTCGGACTGTGCGCTTAGATGATCTAGGCTTAGAGATCACATTTGAAACGCACCGTCAATTAATGTCACACACGCAGCTCATCCATCAGCGGATGTTGTTGTTGCTGCTGTTGTTGTTGCTGCTGCTGCTGCTGTTGCTGCTGCTGCTGCGACTGTTGCTGYTGTGCGTGCTGTTGCGTTGTGGTTGCCACAATTACGGGCACTGTGGGTGGCTGGGGCACGGGTATCAGGCCGCCGGCAGTGGTTAGCACCGTGGTCATGCTTTGATTATGATGATTCTGCATATGCTGCTGATGCGTTACCACGTGTTGCTGCTGTGCGGGTGAGTGCTGCTGYTGTTGCTGCTGCTGCTGCTGTGTGGCCTGCGTTTGCTTCATGCAGCTCTTTTTGGTCAGCGTGCCGCACTGGTTGCCCAGCACTTGCAGCGCATGGGGCGGCGGCATCATGCCTCCGCCGCCGCCCACCTGCCCGGCGTCCTGCAGCGACGACTTCATGTGCTTCGGCGGCGGCGGCGCGCGATGCGGAATGTCAGCGAACTCCGGCGGCGGCAGCTGATGATGCTGCATGGCATGATGATGCGACAGTATGGTGGCCGGATCGCTCTTTGCATGGATGGTCAGGGTCTCCAGGTCGCCGCAGATGTTGTTGGGTATTTGGCCATTCTCCTGCCGCTTCAGCTTCGTCTGGCTGCGTGGCTCGCTCAGCCGCGTCTTGTCCCGCTGATAGTAGACGCCCGCGAAGATCAGCACGTTGAGTATCAGCAGAGAGCAGCCAATCGCAATGGTCACGCTCAGCGCCGTTGAGTAGGCTGCAAAGCCATCGCTATCCTGCGAAGCACTGGCCGCCCCACCCGCCGCATGATCCGCATCCAGAATGTCGTCCGGATAGATCTTGCCGCCGCCGTAACGCGTCCCGTTGCGCTGCAGCGAGGACGACGGCGAACTGAGATTCAGCAGCGAGAAGACCTGATTCGTGAATATCGTATAGTTGCCCATGGCCGCGGCATTCGCACCCCTCGACGTGTACGAGGGATTCAGGGGCTTCACCGAGGCATCGCTGGCAATGTTGTTGTCCAGCTCATCGTCGTCGTCGTGCAGCTGGTGATGGGCAGCGGGCACATTGTCGCCGCCCGGCTTGTGCAGATCGGGAATGAGGTTCAGCCAGAAGGAGAGCCGATGAGCGCGATAATGATTCTTCAGCTTTGGCTTGGTGTCTGTGGAAGAAATGAAGATCGAGCAGGGTTCGATTTGTCAAACTTGTTGTTAGTTGAGCATTATTTGTGAGCTTTTAATTTTTTTTTAGCAATTAAAAGGACTTATCTATATAAATATCTAATAAAAATATTTTAGTTTTGATATATGTGAAATATTAAAGAATTTATAGAATAAGAACTAATTCATTTGAATTTAATTTCGGACGGAACACTTATTTTATTTCGTTTAATTTTTTAAAGTTTTTCATTTTGTTTTAAATAATTTAATTTAATTTTTATTTTATATTTCTTTATTTCATTTATACTATTTGATTTATATTTATACTATTATATTTTTTANTGTGTGTGTATGTGTTTGTGTATGTGTGTGTGTATGTGTGTGTGTGTATGCGTTTGTGTGTGTATGCGTGTGTGTGTGTGTATGTGTGTCTGTATGCGTGTGTGTGTATGTATGCCTGTGTGTGCGTACGTGCGTGTGTGTGTGCGTGTTTCTTGTGTAAGCTGAAAGACGCGAAAAATTATTGAAATATCTATTGCTCCAAGGGTTCAGGGGATCTCGTAGTCGAGCAGTCTCGACTAGAGCTTTCTTACTTGTTTTTTCTTTAAGTTTAATAATAAATTTAATGTAGTATAAAAAATCAACCCATGTGGAAAAACACTCCAAATTTTAGTCTTGGTTCTGCAATGAAGCAACTATTTTTCCTGAGTTAATTGCAATTAATTGCCCGCTCTAACTTAGTCTTATATTCTAAATAATATAGAATGAAGTTAATATACAATGAAAATAGCCCAGATAAAGGCTTATAGTTGACAAAACAAAACAAGAGTCCTTCTTCACTTGGACATTTAGATACTCTAATGGTGCACTGTCATAGACCGATAATGCAGCTGGTTCCCAATAGCCTATTATTGCGTTACATTTGGCAACACTCACCGAAATTCAGATACTTTTTGTGCACACTCTCGTAGGCCGTCCATTCGATGGTTTTGTAGCGACTGCGTTCCTGCCGGCTGCCATGTTCGGTTTCCATTTGTTCGTTGGGATTGCTGTGTTGTTTGATGGACGTAAATTGTCGATTGGTTAGCAGGAAAATACACAAACACACACACACACACACACACACACGCACGCACACAGAGTTGTGGTCAATGCGACCGCAGACCCAATCAATACTCACCCAGTGCGCACAAAGTTGGACCAGTAAAACATTACGATTTCCGATAGACTGATTTCGGTTTTCGTATAGTTGCGAGTGAAGTGGTTCAAACCGCCGACGAGCGGTGCACCAAAAATGTAGGGTAAGTCCTCGCCATGAATGCAGCCCTGGCGCTGTCAAATTGATAAATAAAGGCAACAATTTAGTTGAGTGCTTGCAGTGGCACAGTTCGGGTCGAGCTGACAAACTCACCTGTGGATAGTCGCCGAAACGTGTCTGGTAGTCGAACACATAGAGGTACGAGTTGCGATGATCTGCCGAGTGCAGGTCCACAGTTTGAGCCGCTGGAGCCACAACTTGAGCATCACTCAAGGCCTCCAAAGTCTCATCGCTGCAAGGAAATGGAGAAAGGAAGCCATGGGTCAGTGACTGAGTGAGTGAGTGGCTGAGACTGCAACCCGACTGCGACTGCAACTGCGACTGCGACTGAGCAAGTGTTAAAATCAAATAGCAATTTTCCGGCTATTTGCGCTCAAGTGTGCAGCTAACAGGCCACTTGGAGCTCCACTCTGGCTGCACTCCACAAACTGTTTACCTGCCCAGGTGAAGTGCTCTGCCTCTGGGCTCGCTAAGCCTATTTGGCAAAATATTCTTTTTGCGTCTGATTTGCTGTCATTTTTCGCTCGCAAGGCTTTCGCATTTTCCTTGTGCATTTTCTTGTGTCGCTTTATGCATTCGAGATGCACTGACGCTGAATTTGAATAAAACCATTCGCCACATTTGCATACGTATCTCACGCTCCCAAGCAAAAGGTGCTCCACAGTGCTGCACATAATTTTTATGTGGCTGCATGAAACTATATTTAAAGTGCAAGCATTTTTCTTTGTCAGCGGCAGCAATATTTTGTTTGCCCTGTTGTTGCGCCTGGATCTGGAAGTGCATCCAACTTTGGCACGAAGTGGATGGGAAAGTTAACTTTTCTTTTTATTATTATGAAAATGGGAAATCTGCGTGGAGTGGTTTTCCTTGTGTTTTCTTTTTCTCAAATAGCTAGCGATAAATTATAGCGAGATGATTATTTATTGACTGACTCTCATTGATATATAGGCAGGTGTAGGGAATAGCAACAATATGCTTGGAATTTCAATTTAAGAATGGTAGTTCGTCCCATAGATTTCTAACTAAGGGGTTTATATATTGTGAAGACCCCGTTCTCTTGCTTTAAAATAATAATTTTATTCTTATAAAACATTTTTATTCAGCTCCTATGATTGCAAATAAGTCCAAATTTTCTTCTAAGTAAATATAAAATGCATATTCTAAAATTGTATGTAAAAACTCGAAGCCAGATTTATAACAGAGTTTTATTTAGATTTTATAAAATAGAATATTGAATTCCTAATCATATGGTTTTTATTTGGACAATTTCTCTCATATTTAAAAAAATAATTTTAATTTATTTTAATTTAAAATTTAATTATTATGAATTTTCCAGCAACTCAACGAGGTAGTTGTTGTTTATGCAGAATAAAAAGTCAGTATAGATATGGCATTAAAATTCAATGTCCTAATCTGGACATGCGCAGCGCATATTGAATAGCCCAGGCAAGACTCTGTATAAATATTTATTTTGATTGTATTTATCGTTGACTTTCTATCAAATCCATTTGAAATATGCGCACGAGTCTCTCGTCGATAGCAGGCCGGGCGACCACCCCCAATTGCTACGCCCACTCGCATCCTGGTAGAGATCAAGCATGAACCGTTTGCTGCTTCATTGCAGGCAACTTAACGCACGTTTGCACAAAAGCTGAACAGAGCTTTTGCATAACTGGGGCAGAAAGACTACATATTAAGTATACGACGAGGGCGCCGTAGCGTATACACAATATTTTTCATTTTTATTGTATTTGGCAAAATGGTATGCTGATCAAATTATGCATTCAATAAAGAGACTCGTGATGTTATCAAAAATTCAACAAACATCAACAAAAAATCGAAATAGTAAATGCAAATGCAATACAAATATTGCAATTCTTGTTGTTGTTGTTGTTGTTGGTYTGATGGAAATCAAAAGCTATTCAATTATGGTTGTGACATCAAAGAGTTGGAGTTGGGAGGAGAGGGTTCCATTGAATTGAATCGAATATTGAATATGAAACTTTAGTCATTATTTATGAAACAGAGAGCCGAAAATATTGGTATTTCGCTTGGCAAAAGATACAAATCAAGATTCATTTAAGTCGCTTTAATTGAAAACTCCCTTCCCGAGCTGGCAGCGAAGGAAAGAAACGTAGCAGCTCGCATTTAATTAAGAACGAAATATTTGCTTGGGTATGGCGCACAATCACAGCCGCAGGTCGTGCCGCGGGAGCAGCGATAAGAAGATGAACAAGAATTCGGGATTCACGTGGAACAAACGCAATTACTCACCGGATATTAATTGGATGCTGCACCGGCCTCTCCCAGTCTGTGTATTCATTGACAATCGTGGCGAATATCTCGTTCAAATGGAATGTGTACGTGTTCCGTACGTAGGCCTTTAAAATACGGGAACGCCGATCCGCCTCGATGCCATATTGCACGTCGCCGGAATTGAAGCTGAAAAAGGATTCGGCACGTGTCACGCCAGCCATCAGGTCGTATCTGTAAATGAGCAATAAGTGCGTAAGTACGTGTATCTGCATTTCATGGATACAACATTGTCATCTGCGTATCCTGCTGCGCACAAACTAAAGCCGTTCCGCTTGGGTGTTACGCACCCTAACGAGATCTTTAAATAATCAGCTGTCTCTGGGCTTTGCGGCTTATCCCAGATATTTGTTAAGTGTTGTGTAACTGATTTATGTGTGCGTTAGTTAGGTTTTGTTGATTAAGTGTGACAGTCTAACTATAGCCATGGATATAAAAAGCTAATATGTATATATAGATGATATAAATTTATTATATATTATATAATACATAATATAAGATTTTAGATTTACAGTTGTTCAGATATTCTATATATTCCTATAGTCTCTCACTGATCTCATTTTATGGTATAATGTTTCAAAGTATTGTATTCACAAAAATTTTAAATAATCCAATTCAAATACAATTTTCATTTATAATATTCGCCTTTATATAATATTTTACTATATTTAGTTCATTCCAGCAAATTCCAAGTATATTCATAAAAGTCCCTCAGTGCTTTGCTAATTTTAATATAAATCTGATTAAGAAATGATGTCAAAAGAGTTTGCCAAACTAATTCATCAGTTAAGAGTTAACTGTCCAACAACTCAAATTTTGCGGCCTTCTTAAACTTTGTCTGTGCTTCAAGCCCAAAACTCTGGCTAAACATGATAACTCGAGTGCTAGTCAGAAATTTGCTAGTTTGCTGGCTGAACAGCAAACAGTAGAAAAAGAAAAAGCATCTTTGAGTTACTTGCGCTGCACTTCACAGCTGCCGAGCTGCACTTAAAAATTTATCTTTGCTTATTTGCATAGATAAAGTAGTTTTTGTGCTATGCCTGCTGCTTGTTGTACAATATACATATATACATATATTTTTTTTTGAGGGCGCTTTTATTTCCATTTGGCATTTTGCTGTATTTTTTGGTGTGGCCTGCATTTTATACTGTGCCAAAAATTTCTTTTATTTGCTCTTATTGCATGTGTTTAATGGAATTCTTTTGCAAAATATTGAGCAAGCATACCAATGCTTGTATGTGATGCTCAATATGTATATATCTGTGTGAGTGTGTGTGTCTTGCACTCAAAGCAAATTGCTTTTAAATGTGCACAAAGCAATATTTATGCTCCTTGCGGAGCTTGTGACTAATAGCCTCTTGGGCACTGACAGTTTACAAAGCGCTGAGCCCGGCCGAAAGAATGAAAAAGTTATCCACATAGCGGTCAGCAACAACTGCAACGATTCAGCAGTTGCGCTTGCAGTTGTATTAGCAGTAATAATAGCTGCCAGACTCATCAGTTGCAAAACTGCAGCTCGAAGCAATTCCTAAGTGTTGCTTTATCAGTTCACCTACATATCTATCTATATATGTGTACGTCTCTCGTATATACATGTACAAGAGCTATATGCTTTTAACTAGCTGCCTTTTTTCATTCGCAGGATAAGCCCTGCCATCAATTCCCATCAAGTGCCTCGTTTTAAAATGTAAACTGCTTTATCTTCGCATTTCATTCGCATTTCATTTCGTGCTTTGCTAAATTTGCAGGCACTTGAACTTATTCCCTCTGTATTACATATATGTATCTTCTTATATATTAATTAATGATTGTGTAAAATTTTTGAAATTCAAAGTATTACTGACAATGTCAATGACAATGAGGATGAGAATGACAATGACAATGACAATGACAATGACAATGACGATGACAATGACAATGACAATGACAATGACAATGACAATGACAATGACAATGACAATGACAATGACAATGACAATGACAATGACAATGACAATGACAATGACAAGGTTGTTTTATATTTCTTTAAAATAACTCATTACAATTTATTATTTATTGTATTATTTCGTAGTCGTTTTTCTAACCCTTTTGAAATTGTTAATTTTTCATCAAAGTGGCGCAAATTGCACATAAATTACGAAATCGCAGCTAATTAGCTGTTAATAATATATATTAACAATGCCAAATGGCAAAGCACAAAGTGCATAAATCAAGTGACGGTGCCAAGAACAATAGGCCACGCCCCCAGCCCGCAACCCACAGCTCACAGCTCACACATCAACCCTTACTAACCCATTTCCCAGTCCCTACGAAATTTGTAATTGTATTGCAAAATGGAGTCGCGCATTTGCGTGGTTAATGTGCATAAATTAATAAGGAAGCGGCTGCGTGTGTATGTGTATGTGTGGGTGTGAGTGTTATTGTATGGTCAACATAGCAGCTGTGCGGTGTAAGCGCCAAAGCTTATCGGCGCCTAAGCTGGCGCCATTTTGAGTGTTCGCTGCGGCGAGATAAAATCTTTGAGCAGCACGCAAAAGTCGGCAAAGTCGAAACTTTAAATTAATTACATTGCATACTTTTAAGCTGTGTGTGTGTATATGTGTGTGTGTCTGGGCACGTCAATGTGCGGGTTAAGGCAAAAATAATTAAGCAGCGGCTGTTCGAGCGGAGCCTCAAAAAAACTTACCTTGACAACTTGTTAATGGCTGTTTTTCTCATTAATACTGCATTAATTAAAAACGCCAACACACGTGCGAGTGTGTGCGAGTGTGAGTGAGTATGGGTTAATGGCGTCAGCGAACATGGCAGTTCACAAGTGCAAGTCGTCATCGCCGTCGTCGTCAGTTGACATCAGCAGCCGCAGCGGCAAGTTGGGGAGAAAGAAATTGACAGCAATGCATCGCATTAAATATATTTGTGGTAATGCTAGCAACAAGCAAATTGTCTATCTTCGGCGAGCCGAAGAATAAATGAGCTTATAAAAATATAAATGTCATTTACACAATATTATATACATATCAAATTGTGCAATATGTTCTATATATCTTATATTCCAAAGGAAATACAGTATAGAACTACGTACATATGTACATCCGATTTCTAGTTGCCTCTCTCCTCCACTGACACCACTAACGACCCAGACCTATTGGCTTCAATAGCTGTGCCACTCTTACTCAGCAACGCACGGGGCTACGCAGCAGCTATCCTTCTCACTCTCTTTCTCTAAGGCTGTGAAGCGTGCAGCCAAGACACAAACCCACTCTCACCAATACTACTGTAGTAGTAGGCGACAATTATGAATTGAGACACTTAGAAAACAGACTCTGCTATCATTTATATATTTATATAAACATATATGGATTCTACAGTTTATTTATACAAAATCTATCTTCTATTTTACTTCTCCTAGTAATACACTATATAAATTTTAAATATATTTGCATTGTTTTCAAATTGTTCTTAGTAAAGCCCGCATCGATATATTTTAGTTGAAGATTCTATGATCTCTGTATGTTAGGACTTTAATTTATTTTCGAATTCTGGCCTAAACCCAAACAGAAACCTGGCTAAAACAACTGCGTGCTTAAAGATATAAATATATGTATATTAATGCAACAAACACAATCACAATTTCAATATGCCCACTCACTATACTGGGAGGCTCTTCAAGAATTCTCACTCACCTATATTCTCCAGTTGGCCGGGCGTGCCCCAGCCTCCTGCAGCTGCGATGCCCGCCTCTCCGCCCAGACCATTGCCAGCTGCCGTTGAGGCCTGAGCCTGTGCCTGAGCGGCCGGTGAGCCGGGCGGGGGTGGGACATAGTCGCCACCATCGATGACGACGCCATCGATGCTGGGGCCAAAGGCAAAACCGAACTCGGGCGGTCGTATGGGCACGCTGAGTAGCTGCTCGAGCGTCTTCTCGCGAAGGCACTTCATCAGATGGGCGTGCGGCAGGTCCGAGGCGCAGTTGACGTGATGCGCCACGATGGCCGCATACTTGGCGGGATTGCTGACCAGAGACCACGGTGCCAGGCCCGAGCCGGACATGAGCATGGCCCGGTTGAAGAGCAGACCTGCAAACGAAGGTGGGATGTGAGGGAGGCATAAACATTCAAGTCTATAGCGCTTTGCTTACCCTCCGGTACCGCCATCGATGATATCAGAAAGTGCACACAGGCCGCACCAGTGCCATGTCCCGCTAGGGTTATGCTGTTCGGATCGCCGCCAAATGCCGCAATATTCTCTTTTAGCCAATGCAGGGCGGCAATGATGTCCATCAGGCCGTAATTTGCTGGCAGCTTAGAATAGCGATCCGTGTTGGCATTTAAAAATCCTGCAAAATTACCGCAGAATTCATCAGCATTTTCTTCCACATCGATTAATCGCTACAGCAGCAGCAGGAGCAACAACAGCAGTAGATGGAAATTTAATGAAGTCTAGCGACTATTTAAAATGTCAGACACATCGGCGCAACACTTGCGAAAACGTGTACAGTCACGCGTGCAAATCATGATGTCAGCACTTCCGTTTCCGCAGCAGCCGTACCAGTGGAAAACTGCCCGGGATGGTGGCCACAATTGGGGAGGGTCGAAGTGGTGCAGGCAGTGCTTTCAAATGAGGTCACACTAATTTGCTCTGCATTTGAATTTTTACAGTGGGCAGAAAGTATATTAAAATTGCTACGAAAGTTTCACTGCCGACAATAAAATTTTAATGAAAATATTATAAATGAAATATCA